TTTCGAGCCAATTAAACGGGTAAATTTCCAGATTTCATTTCCAAATTTCAGCAGAATCCACCGCACAAGCCACTTTTAAAGGTGTCGAATCAAAATGCAATACTATAAATCATTAATGCACCCCCTTGTCGCAACGAGGCTGGAATATTTTAATCACTGAATAATGAAGTCAATACTCACAAATCTCAGCTGTCATCAGAAGATGCACGTGCCTCCGTGTGCCCAGCTGGAGAGGAAATCTTGCAAGTGGACTGGATTTGCCCAGTGGAGGTGCAGCAGGAGCTCTGCAGCAGCAGTGGGACACAAGGGGATGGGTTCTGCAGCCCAGTTTTGTTACCAGCAGTGAGTCAGCAGCCCTGTGCTCTGAGCAGCATGTTGGACTTTTAACAAGGGCATGTAGTGACAGGACACAGGGAATGGCTTCCTGCTGACAGAGGGCAGGGTTAGGTGGGATATTGGGAAGGAATTCTTGGCTGTGAGGGTGGTGAGGCCCTGGCACAGGTTGCCCAGAGAAGCTGTGGCTGCCCCATCCCTGGAAGTGTTTAAGGATGGATGGGGCTTTGAGCAACCTGGGCTAGTGGAAGGTGTTCCTGCCCATGGTAAGTGGGCTGGAAGGAGAAGAGCCTTTAAGTCCCTTCCAGAGCATTTACAGCTTGGATAAGTGATGCATTTTCGAGGTGAACACTACCAGACTGCTCGCCTTGCTACCATGAGAGTTTTCTTCACTCCCATTAAGGACAGACTGGAGCCAGTGCAGAGTGGGAATGTCCCACATCCAAGGCCAGACACCATCCTAGAGCTGGGGAAGCCTTGGAGACGTGGAGAGAACCAAAGGGCAGATCTGGAAGCTGGTGAACAGAAGGCAGAAGGGCAAAGTTAAAACAGCTCTGTGAGTGCTGGGACGTGCCTGCAGGCAGCGAGAGCCGCTGTGTCCCCGGCACAGATGGAGGATGTGGCTTGGAGCTGCAGCAACCATGCGGGCGGGAGGATGGTCGACCCTGACAGGGAAAAGGGGACAGCATCAAGCTGTACTACTACTGAGTAACACCAGCTTCCTCAAAGAAAGGAAACTCCTGGAAGGACAGAATCAGGCTGGCAAACAGCCACAGCCTGCATGGAGGCTGAACACGGAGAGAGGAGCTGATATCTCTGCCTGCCCCCCAGGATGCTCACAGGGATGCACTGCTCACGTGTGGGATCCCACAGCTTCTAGGACCTACCTTGTGGTGTCTTGCACTGTGACAACAAGCCTGAGGCCCCAACAGTGCAATGCTGGCAGGATGGGGCTGCCATCCAGCTGGATGTCTGGGTACTTGTGGAAGCTGCACGGTCAGATTAATATCACTGGGACAAGAGGGCAGTGTGGTCCAGGACAGAGGAACCTATAGTTTGATACCTCCAGAGCTGGGTACAAATCGTCTTCACAGTAAGACAGAGCTGGTATGACCTGTGGGAAGTGAAAGAGGTCATAACAGTGCTCTCACAGGGCTACCACCTTGGGCACAGAGCTGTCAAATGGTCACTCAAACTACAGGGAACCTCCCAGGCTCTGCACAGAGCAGACCAAAGTACCACACACCCATCTTTCTGGATAAGTGGCATAACTGGGAGTCAGATATTCCTCCCTCAGGAACCAGGTGAGACAAAATGTCCACCTTGAGTTGTCCTGCTTCATTCCAATGCACTAGGATTGCACTGGAGCCTACACCAGAGGTATTTGGGTTTAGTCCATTTTTAGACTAGCAGAAATATGGAAGCAGCACTCTTGAGTTTAGGGTTTGCTTAGGTTGGAGAGGGACTTCATTCAAGGACATGTAGTGATAGGACAAGGGGGAATGACCTGAAGCTGAAGGAGAATAGATTTAGACTGGATATTGGGAAGAAATTCTTCCTGTGAGAGTGGTGAGGCCCTGGCACAGGTTGCCCAGAGAAGCTGTGGCTGCCCCATCCCTGAAGTGTCCAAGGCCAGGTTGGACAGGGCTTGGAGCAACCTGGGCTAGTGGAAGGTGCCCCTGCCCATGGCAGGGGGATGGAATGAGATGAACTTCAAGGTCCCTTCCAACCCAAACCAGTCTGTAATTCTGTGACAGTGGCCTGTGCTGCAGTAGGGGAACCCAGCCAAAGCCATGGACTCAATCCTCAGGAAAAACGGAAGAGATCTGCCAAAAAATTGCAATCACAGAATTGCAGAACAGGTTGAGGTTGGACAGAAACTCTAAATATCATCTAGTTCACCACAGCCCCCCTACTCAAACCCTTGCTGGGCCTTTTCCTCCCGACATCACTGAGCCCTCAGAGACGCCACGCTGGCGTAGCTGGTCACACCACAGGGTGTAACAGCACAGAGGTACAGCAGGACACACAGCTGGAGTCCTCCTGTGGGTGACAACAACATCAACAGTGCCCATCAGATGTCATTTCTGTCTCACCCTGTTTGAGGTTGTGATTTCACAGCTGGAAGTTCCTGGAGCTGCTCCCCTGGATGCAAGGGGCCTGAAGCAAGTCTTGCCAAGCGATCTGTAAATTCATTCCCACCTGGATACTTTAGGCCTTGCAGCAGTGTAACAGGGTTTGGCCCTCCAACAGGGATGGCCAAAATATTTATTTAAAATCTGGAGGGGAAACCATGCTCTGAAGGGATTTCTTTTTCCCTCAGGCTGCTGCAGAAGTGGGTGGCAGAGGATTTTTACCTTTGGTGCGTGAGTCCAGTCACCTCTGAAGAGAGGGCCCTGAGCGAGCTGGACCAGCATGGCAAATCCCATTTCCTCATCGATTTTCTTGAAGGATGCTCTGGAGGAAGCTGGGTGTTATGTATTTGTGTGAGCAAGGGATATTAGAGACTCGTGCAGTGAGATTAGAACCGACACCGAAGGTCATTCTCTCCTAAACCCCTCTTTTAAAGCATTAACAACTTTAAAAAAAAAAAAAAAAAAAGAAGCCTTTGTGCTGGAGATGTCTCAGGCTTCATCTCAGACGAAAGGTTTTTTTGGGGGGGAAAAGTGAGCCAAAATCTCCGTGGATGTGTTCTGCATTATTTGAGCTTAGAGAGAAAAAAAAGAAAAAGGCGATGGGGAGTGGTGGGGGAGGATGGGGAACACTCCCTGGTAATACTGGTTGTCACAATCCCCTTTTCCCATCATTCTGCCCAGCAACAGCCGCTCCACTCTGCTCCTCCTCCAAGACCAGGCGGCCTCATGTGAGCACCTCCCTCCTCTCCCCTTTCCTGCTGAAGCTATCCAGAGCAGACCAGGTGGGTGGATCAGGGCACCTGAGCATGTGAGATACCCTCCTAGACCATCCCCTGGGCAGGCATCTGGAAGATTCTGGGCCCCCATCGTCACCCTCGGTGTTGCCTCCAGAGGAGAGGGACCAGGCTGGTTCCTTGGCACTCAGTGCCAATGGCCCCATTGTCCAGGACAGGGCAGGAGGCCCGTGGTCTCAGCAGACAGTTATTCTGGTCATGCTCCCACAAGGTTGGGAGGGGAAAACTCATCCAGTCTGTCCAGCCCATGCAGTACAGAGCACACAGAGCATGGAGGAAGGCTTGCCAAGCGAGCTCACTGAGGCAAGGGAGGGATGTGGCACGACAGGCAGGTCCAGAAGAAAACAGAGAAACCCACTGATGAGCAGAGACCTGCTCCAAACACACAGAGCAGAGGATGGGGATAGCTCCCCACAGTGCAGGGAGAGAGGTTGCCCCCAGCCCTCACCACCACCCCAAATTAAACAGCTTCTGTGGGTGAAACTGCCAACCCCCTGTCTGGGGTCTCCAGAGCACCAGCAGTGTGGTTTCCCCCAAGGCACCACCATCAGTGCAAGGGCTCAGAGGGAGAACAGGGCCAAGCCAGCAGAGGTGCTCTGGGGATCAGGGATTAATAGAGATGCCAATGTCCAAGCCCTCAGGGTCCAGCCATTGTTCCCAAGGGACAGGCAGATCCTACAGCCCCTGCTGAGGCCCATCAGCAGCTTGGGGCTCTGTTCATCCCCTTGAGCTGCAGCCCATTGATTCCAGCTGCTTTTGGATTCTTTTTGCTTCCCATCATGGCAGACAGCAGTTTCCACATTTAAACCAAAACCAGTTAGTCCCCACTCAAATTACAGGTCTGAGTAATCCCCCCAGCCCAGTGGAAGGGATTATTCCCAACAGGAGACCTCTCCCTGCAAGCACCTGGCCTGAGCACAGCCCCAGGAATGAGCTTGTGACACAGAAAAAGGAAATTGTGTTCGATCTTTTTGGCAAGATGAGCTGTCTGCTCCCTGAGGGGGAAGGGGAGCACTGGATCCCTGCCGGGGCTGCAGAGTTTTGGGAGGGGGAAAGCAGGCTCAGAGACAGGAGGGCAGCGTGCTGGGCTTGCCCAGTGCTGCGTCCCACATCCCTGCACAGAGCCTCGACTGACACAGGGAAGAGTGCAGGGACACTGATCACCCCACTGCTTCCCAGAGCCACTCCAAGATGCTCAAAATCATCTCTGGAGCATCTGCAATTCTCTGCCAAGTGCTGAATCATCCTCCTGCAATGTTTGCATTAGGAATGCAGGAGTGGTAGAGCCTTTTGCAGTGAGAGCCGGGCGGGGGGGACAGGTACTGACACAGAGAGGAGTAGCAGCAGGAATGTGCTCTCTGTGCTACCTGCTCTGCTGGCCCTCCGGAGTGCCAGTGCTTGGCAGTCACCTGTGCACATCCCAGAGGGACACAGCCAGAGAGGCTGGACACATGGCAGGGCTGAGGGTTTGATTTCTTCATCGTGAAATGAGTCACTGTGAACCCCCAAAGCAAGTCTGATCTGTCCTCATCTTCCACTAGAGCTGTGGGGAGACCCAACCTCACCTGTGCAAAGCTCCTGGAATCCCAAATCCAATCACCTACCACAGGGTCTCATCAGCTGCAGCAGCTCCTGGCCAGCTGTACCACCAACAGTGTGAAGCAGTCTGCTGGGGGAACAGCAGTGCCTCACCTTTAAAACAAAAAAGCCCTCAGAACCACTGAGAAATGGATGAGTAAAAGGGGGTTTATTTATTTAGACTTTCAACAAAACTTTGACAGAATCCTGCACTGGGGGATTTGAAATCTTGCAGCATACCCTGGTTATGCACAAGGACACCAGAACTCGTGTGTGTTTAATAGATCTACTGAGATGTGGCAGATAGCAAAGGATTATCTGGGTTAGCTGATGTGAGAGGCTGGAGGGAGCTGCGGAGGGAATTCACTGCTCACAGAGACCAGCTGTTGATAAACAGGAGTTCACACACGCCACAGAGATCATCTGACCTGCTCCTGTGTATCACCAAACTCACTATCATCTATAACCCTGCTGGAGAAAGCCCCTTGTGTCACTGGGCAGCTCAATAACAACAGCTTTAAACACTCAGGGACAAAAGAAACAACTACAGGTCTGAAGTGCAATGTGCTGAACCAATGTGATGTTATTATGGCATTAAGTATCAGTGGATGGGGCAGCTCTGCTCTAAACAGTGTCTCGCTGGAGCCTCTGAGCTGCAAAAATAAACACACAAGTTGGACAAAGGGAACAACCCCCACATTCGTGGGGTCCTTACAGCCATTCCACCCAGCACTGAGTCCCCCTGGGACTCCTGCAGAAGATCAGAATGGGAATTATATACCTGCAATTGGAGACTTTCCAGATGTGCCCCCACACGTAGTCTCTACAGAGAGCAAAACCCTGCATGGGGCAGGAACACATCGAGGTGCAGGCACACCTCTGCAGGATGAGCTTTGGGGAAGAAGGTCTGGGTGATGGCAGATCAGGGGAAGGTAGGTGGAGGGCTGGGGGGTGAACCTGCAGGGAGACCTAGCCCAGGTGAAGGACAGCAAAGTTGAGGGATGAGGGCGGCCGGCAAAGACTGGAGCTCAGCTCTTCCCCACCAAAGTGCTGGCCAGGAAGGCCAAGGCCATGGAGGAGGTGACATATGGCCTTGGCCTCCTTGGGCAGGGAAAGCCAGATTCACATGTCAGGGAGAGCCATCATCACACCCATTAGCAGGTTCAGCACAGCTGGAGGGGCATGGATTATCTCCCCAGGCAGCCTGAAACCTGAGGCAGGGCTCTGCTCACCTTATTGCAGCCAAGAGAAAGAGAGCAAACTCCAGCTCCAGCAGGAAGCCTCCAGTGGCTGGAAGACCTGTGGGCTGAGATGATTTTGCACAGCCTCAAGATAGATCTAATTATCAGGACAGACCCATTTGCTGGCAGCTCCTCCTGGTGCTCGAAGGGAGGATGTGCACACCAGACCCGTCCCGGCCAGCCCTCCCCATCTGCAGGAGGCTTTGGGGCCAGCAGGAGAAAGTCTGGGAAGCGCAGAGAACACAAGCAGCCAGCCTGCCCAGACGAGGCTTCCCATATGCTGCAGGGCCCTAAGCATCCCTGATCCACGGGATGAAGGAATATCGGCCAACAAACCTGACCCTGAGCTCCTCAGAAGCAAGACAGGGACTGACTGCTCCTGTCAGGAGTGGAAAAGTCACTGTCTGGACCACCCACAATGCCAGGCATTTCCAGGGTGTCCAAGAAAAGGGAAATAAAGCCAAGCTAAGTATTTGTGCTCTGTACAAATGGACCTTGACTTACATCGATGCTCTGCCAGAGTGCAGAGATGGCAGTGAGCACCATCTCCCAGCACAGGGGGTGAAGCTACCACTGGGTCACTCCTCAGCCATGCAGAGCAGTGAGAGCTCCTTTGCTCTCGTGCTTCAAGACAGGTTTCCCACCTCCTGACTGTGCTGTCAGGTAGATGTCTCCTGCAGAGCCTTCAGTTTGTCATTCCCTTGTCACACGCTGCTGTGGGTGAGCACTGACATCTCATTGCAGCAATGCTCAGAGCAGGGGCAACAGCAAACTCCTCTAGACTTCTGCCAAAAGCAGCTCCTAAAGCCCCCAAACGTTGCTCAGGGCTCTTGTTCCAACCAGCAGCCCTCAGGACGCTGTCACACATCCTAACCAGTCCCCTCCTGTCCCCACTCAGCCAGCGTGGCACCTTCCCAGGCACACAGCCTGACACTTAGTGATGCCAGGCAGATCCCCACTGCTCCTCACTGCTCCTCCAGCCTCTGTCTCACCAGCAAGGGCTTTCTGTTTCCTTGCAGGTCACAGAAACCAGTGGCATGGTCTGACCCACGAGTGCTTCCCAGCCCCACTCCCACTGTAGATGAAGATTTTATACCACAGCTTACACAGCATCCGTGTGTCTGATGTTAAATGGACTAAGAACTGCACTTTATCAGGTCTGCTTAAACATGATTAGAAACCTGGGTAGATTTCCTGCTTTGAGTGATCATAAAGGGTGCAGGGAAGGCAGAGTGAGAGCTTCTGCTTGTGCAGAAGGCTGGCTGGAGACCCCATAAAAGGAAATCGGGAATTGTGGAGGTTTCTGTAAGGAGGCCTCGTGCAGCTGACGGTGCTGGGGCTCAGGAATTGATGCTGGGGAGGCAGCCAGGCCCCCCATCAGCCAGCCTGCTCATCCCAGGACAGAAGGTTACCAAGCCCATGTCCCAGGGAAGTGCCTCAGCTCTCACCGTCTGCAGCAAACCGAAATTTGGGAGGATCCCTCTGGCTGCTGACGTGTCTCATCTCCGTGCTGTGAAAGGGCACTCAGGTTTTGCTGAGCTGGATGGAGGCCGTTGGAGACATCACTTCCCTTCTCCAGTGCCTGAATTCACTGGGGACATGCTGGCAGCCTGCCAGACCAACATTAACATTTGCCAAGATATCAGCATCACCTGGGGCTGCCAGGGCTTGCCTGAACCACACACACAGTGTTTTCAGACCATTAGTGCCCATTCTCCTCTTCCTCTCCCCCACAAGAGGCTTCAAGCTCTGTCCAAACTCCCTCCATGCTCCTGCCACCTCCTTCTTTAACTCCTGGGTGAGCAGCGGCATCTTTGCCCCTAATTACAGGCAGGTTGGATTTAAAAATAACAAAAACCTCAACCCAAAAATGAAGCCCAGAGCACTGAATTTGCAGGCACTGTTAAAACAGCACCTTGGGGCTGTGAAATGACACTTTACATGGGAAAGGTCAAGTGCTGTACACAAGGCACACTGCCTCGTTCCGAAGGATCCCACAGCAACAGGACAGACACGGGGTCAGAACCAGGGCCTCACCACCCTCACAGGGGAGAATTTCTTCCTAATATCCAATCTAAATCTATCCTCTTCCAGCTTAAAGCCATTTCACCTTGTCATTCCACCAGTACCTGACCTAAAGTCCTCCATGGGATGTCACTTCTCAGTTTGTTAGAGGCACTCTGCCCCTTTCCCAAAAGCATCTGGCAGCTCCAATAGGAGGACACAGTGAAGGGCAGGATGGTCCCTTGCTCCAGCCTGACTTGCTTCCTTAGAGGATGGCACCAAGGTCAAGGGGGGCACAGGACCCAAAACCCAGTGGGTCACCCAGCACCTGGGGGAAGATTTGAAAAAAATCATATTTTCAAGCACAAGAAGGTTTTTTTTTCCAGTGAATTGCTTCAAATGACACTCTGCAGATACATCTTTCCTCCTCCATGTTTTACTTTTACAGAGAAAACAAGTAATCACCAGCAATCAGCATCTCCAGTGTGGTGCACACCAGACCAGGAGGTGTCCTGGGAAATGCATCTCCCTCCCGGGCAGGACATGGGTGTTGCTAATGCTGCAATTTGCTTTGCTGTACAAATCTCATCTATCAAGAAGGAACTGGAATGGGGGGAAGTAAGTTATTATCTCCTCATAATGATATAGCAGATACTTGATGGGCTCTGTCAAGCTACAGAGCTCTCACTGGGTGTGTGGAGCTGGCAGGATTCTGCTGAGGATATGTCCACACAGGATCTTGCTGGGCAGAAAGGCAGGAGAGATGGCTCCAAACAGGAGAGGTGAGTCTGAACCACCCCTGAAGTGATATCCACAGCGTCCCCCTCCAGCTGTAACAACAATGAGGAATCAGGGACCAAAGGTATCACAGCCAACAGGCCCCAAACACCTGCTCTGCCCTGTGAGATGGACAGAAATAAGGAAAACTTCTCCACAAGCCCTGCTAAACCTTTACCCCCCCCTCCACAGTTTTTCAGGAACAAATGGACATTAGCTTCACCTTAGCTCTCCCTGCAGATATTGGCTCACACATAAAGGCCAGGACACCTGCAAAGCATTGTCTGGACAATCCATTCCCCACTCCAGAGCCTCCCCACAGCCTGTGGGGAGGGATTTCCACAGCTCCCAGCTCCCATGGAGTCAGAAAAGGGGGGACAGCTTCCAACTCCACCAGCCTGTGGGACAAAATCCACTACTTTCCTCCCAACACATCTGCTCTGAAACCATCAAGACACAGTTGCTCGTTGTGTCATTATCCCCAAGCTCAGCCCAAGTGCCATGCACACATGCCACACACGAGATGGGCTCCAGCAGCTCCCCCTCTGGCCCCTCTCCTGCTCAAGGGGGATCCCAGGCTTTTTCATCTCTTCACCTCAGTAACAAGTGCATTTTACCCTCTCTACAAGTGGCCAAGACCCAGCTTCAGGCTCTTTAAGCAGTGATATCCAGGGTTTGGAAGTGACCTGTCCAGGGCTTGGAGTTCTCCTTCAGCTTGGCAGTGGCTCAAGATCTCTCCATGGCTGGCAGCCCAGGAGCTGAGGAAGGCCTGGGAAGGCTCAGAGGAGCTTCCACAAAGGTGCAGAGGCACCTGGCCACTAGCACTAATCCTCAAGGCCTTGAGCACCATCTCCTGGTCATTCCTGGATTCAGTGGCAGCTTAACCTCATGCTTCCTCCGTGTCGCCATCCCTGAAAAGCTTGGGGGGACAAACCATATGTGGGAGCCCTTCAGGACACGTGCACCACTTCAGCAGGGTCATATGCTTGCTGCTACACACACACACACAATGTCATGAGCTCCCCCAAGCCCCTCTCCTGGGAGCTCTGCTGCTCCCTGTTCCTTCCAAGTTATAATGGGAACAAACTCTCTCACTGGCACAGCCACCTTGGCACGCTCCTGTGCCACCATCTCTGCCTGGTGGCAGTGAGCAGCCAGCACAAGATGCTGCTGGAAAACTCCAATCTGTTCATCCCCCGTGGCTCTGGGCAGCAGGACACAACAGCACACTGCTCACCGTGGGGTCCCAGGCTCTGAGATCCGGCGGGATCACCGCTCCCTGTGGAAATATTGCAGTGGCAGAGTTCAACCTTCTCTGGCACGAAGGAAAGGAAGATAAATGCTACCAGTCCCCTCAGAGCCACAGGAACCCTGCATCTATCTAATTGCACTTCATAATGGATCCAGCAAACCATTAATTATCAGATTATATTTTAGGAAGCTGCAGATAAAAAAGCTTTATGAAATTTAGCCTTAAAGGGACTGGTGTGCTGCAATGAAGCTGTTGCATCTTGCTGGCACCAGAGAAGCAAACTTTACAGTGGGCACCAGAATGCATTTTACAAGGCAGTGCCCCCCGTGTGGCAGGGGAATGTCCACTTGCAGTCACAGCAGCTATCCCACACTCACATACTTTTATTAGTGCCAAGCCACTGTCACCAGTAATGAGGGACCCTGGCATGCAGGCACAACTCCTTCTCCTTTTTCAGCATGTTCCTGGTAAATTAAGAGAGTGGTGGGACATCTCAGGGCTGTTTGCTTGCAGAGAGGATGGGGATCCCCAGATCTGCCTTGGACCCTCCTTCCTAACAGACAGTTACAGCAAAAATATGGATGGGATCAGAAGCTGCACAAGGTGCTACCTAAACAGCACTGAAGTCATTTAGCCCAGTTCCCAGGAAGTCCCTGCTGGAGAAGAGAGACCCAAAGGTCAGATCTGTGCTGGAGGTCTCTGGCTGCACATCAGTACAGGTGAGAGTAGAAGACACAAAGCAGCCCTCACACACCCTGCAGAGAAGATACCTGTGACTACATCACTGATTCAGCCATAAAAATCTCCATCCTAAGTTCTCAGGACAGCTTTTTTTTTTATTCCTTCCCATACCCATGCCCCCCAGTTTTGTCCCGCACTAGTCCCCTCCCCTCCGTTCCCAGCAGCAGAGGGTCACACCCAATTCCCATTCTTTTCCTCCACTTTATTTCTCACCTGGGAGAGACAGGTGGTCCAGCTCACCTGAGCTGGCAGCTGCTTAATGCAGGGAGACTTCCCAGGCAGTGAATGTCTATGAACCTCTCCTGTCCCTGGTCACTCTGTGCTTGCTGCCTGCCTGGGATTGCCTTCCCAGAGAAGCCCTGGATCTCCGAGCTGGAGCAGCACACTGAGCTCCTGAACAAGTCCAGGGGATACCAAGTGGCAGTTGGAGCCCCCCCCACACTGTCTCCCGCTTGGTTTCTTCACAAATCAGAGTTACTTTGTCATCAAACAAGTCCTCCTTAGTCACTGCCACCTGCTCAGAGCCACTTTGGCTCACATGGGATTCAGGCAACATCAAAAAGACTTGGGAGCCAACGAGCTGGGTGCCATCAAACATGATGTTTGATCAAACATGATGAGATGATGTGCTCTGCTGCTCCTTGCTTCGACGTCGGAATCACCTGTGTGGAAGGAAGATGGTGCAAGAGTCAGACATGTACAGCACCACTTTCCCCAGGATCCCTTTGCTGCCCACCCTTTCCCCAGCCTCAGCTCAGGTAATAACATTTAGCTCCACGCCACAGGTCTGCAATTACAACAGGCATGAGACTAATGGGAAACGCCAAACCACACATGCCAGTGATGCAAGAGAAGACAGGAGAGTAATTTGAATATTTCTCTCCACAAAATTGCTATAATTTAGCTCCACAAGCAGCTGTAGACAGTAAACACTCTGTGATTATCCACTGGAGGAATGCCATCCCAGGGAATCTTGCACACTGGGTTCTCTCATCCAAGGAACTGCTCTCCACTGATGGCTGAGATTTTGAAGAGGAAGAGGCTGGGTTCAAACCTAGCACTGGGCCTCCAACAGAACAGCTGTAGTCTCGTGGGGTGTCATCGGGGTGTTAACAGCCTGTGAGTAGCCAGGCACCTCTGCATACCCTGCCAATCCCCCTCCTCGGCTCCTGAAAGCCAGGATTGAGCTGCTTCCCCTCCAGCAAGACCTCCTCATGCCAGCACAGAAATGCCAGAGTGCTGTGACTGGGAGTTTACATCACAGACCTCTCTAAAAATGGGGGATCATTTCAACCCAAACCACTCCAGGATTCTATGATTCAGTTCCAGGGGCATCATGACAGCAAGAACCGTGTAGAAAGCAGAAGTAACAGGGGAATTATGCTCAGCAGATACAAGACCTGATCCTCCTCCCACAGGACAAGCACTTACACCTCACTCTGTTTCTCAACTGTCCCTGAGGAGCTGAGCACAGCTGAATCCCTGATCCTTGTCTCAGGTCTCCTTTTGGTGTGAATTCTTGTTCCCTTGTAGCAATGTGCTCCCACACACATTCCCTCCAAGGCATGCCATTTGCAACATGACTATTTTTAATTCCTACACCTCTTGGTAGATAGAAACTTGGGTCAATGAGATATGTAGCCCTTCACAGTCACAGCCCATCTCTCCCCGTGGACCTGCCTTTTCCCTATGGACTCTGCCTCCTCTGTCCAAGTTATCCCTCTGCCAACCCCAAACTGCTGCACATGGCCTGGAGAGACATCCTGGTGCAGGAACAGGCAACAGCAACCCTTGCATGTGAGACCAACTCCTGGCTGCACCAGCTCACCTGGTAAGTCTTGTCACAGATTCCAAAGGCTTTCCCCCGGTGTGGGTCACCACGTGGTGCTCCAGGAGTGATGGGGCACTGCAGATTTTGGAGCAGGTAGGGCAGGGCTGGTATTCCCGGGAAGGTTCTTCATGGACATGCCTGCAGTGTTCCTGCAGGGTGGCAAAGCTCATCTGGCACTTCTTGCAGCTGTAGGGATCTTCAGTGTCTGCCACCCAGAAACACAGCACAAACCACAGAGGGCAAAGAAATCAAGGGAAAAGAAGACTTAAGAGACAGTCAAAAAAAGGGAGGGACATTTTATTTTCCAGGTGGAAACTAGAACTGGAGCTTGGGCTTCACATATAGGTTTTACTGTTCCTGCAAACCAACAGCTTTTCCATGGTGAGCTCCCAGCAGCCTGTTTGCCATTATTTTTGAGATAACCCTACTCATAGCATCAAACCATTAAAGTCTCACTTTTCCACGCCTGCACAGGGAGGATTAAATTAGCACCGACCTCAGGTATCCAGAGGTACTACACACTTTCACACTGGTGTGTCTCATGTTCAAAATGCATTGCCCAACTGCATCACACTTGTGGAACAGTGGGAAATAGAGCCAAGGACATTTTTTACATGGGCACATCAATACATTCTCTGTGCCCATGAGCTAGAAGAGCCCTGTCTCAGCCCTGGGAGCACATGGCACTGAGTGCAGGGGCAGGAGCAGCAAGGGCATGAAAAATATGTGGGATTCAGCCAGAGGGAAGGGCAGGAGAAACTAGGATAACCAGAGGAAGGATGCATCACTGGAGTCTAGGTGTGATGGGACAGAGAGGAACTACTCAAGAGAAAAACAAGGAAGATGGAGGAGAGGAGGACTGCGTGGCTAATCTGAGGAGCTGGATAAGGGCAAAGTGGGAAGCTGCAGGCAAACCCATGCAGGTGAAGGAGGTCTGGGAGTAGCCCAATGCACAGGAGGCCCCCAAAGGATGGAGAAGCAGCCAGGAGGCAAAGGGAGGAACAGGGCACAAAGGGGTAGATGGAGCAAGCTGAGCCCATGGCTGGGCTCCTGTGGGGAAGCTCACCCTCAGCCTGCTCCCTCTTGCTGTGGTAGGCCAGGGCCGAGGCCTGCATGAAGGTCATCAGGCAGTGCTTGCACAGGAAGGGCCGTCCCCCGTGTGCAGCTGCAGGTGGTTCTTCAGCGTGGAGTTTGCCACGAACCCGGCCCCACACTCCTGGCAGGAGAAGGGCTTCTCATCCAAGTGTTCTGTCAGCTTGTGCTACTGCATCCCTGGGGAGGCAGGCAGGACACCAGCGTGGCACTGGTGGGACCTGGTGCCAGCCTTGCCTCACCCTGCTGCAGAGGCACCACTCCACCGTACTGCTGGGTCCACCAGCCCACCAGTGACACCAAGGTCCACTGGTGTCCTCCAGCCTGGAGTCCACCAGGACATTGTGAGCTGCCCCGGGGAGGGCAAAGAGACTCAGCTCCTCTTACTTGTCCTGCTAAAGCAGCCAGGAACTGGAACAGCTCGGTTATTTTTGGAGGCTTTTAAATTTGCCAGTAGCCCCACTTTTCCTTGATGAGCCATGTGGAAAACCAATTAGGGAAGAACTAATCAGAAAGTGGTTGTGCTCAGTGGGGCAGGAGAAATGAGCTGAGCTGCGTTTTCTCACACATGGCACTCACAGAGCTGCAGGGAGGAGGAGGAAGTTTCAGACTATCACTTTACTATAGTGTCCAAACTTCTGCCTAAACATCCTGCTCCCACCAACCCTACCTGAGGCATGAGCAAACTCTCTTCCACAGATGTCGCACGCCACAGGGAGCCGCTTCTTCTTTTCCTTGGCCATCCCCACCCACCCCGTGGACCTCCAGCTGATGATTTTCCAGCTCCTTCTTGGTCAGTTTGACCTGGCTGCACTCTTTACACTGGATCTGCTTCCCTCTGGACACCCGACAGCGTTTCATGTGCACTTTCAGGCAGCAGCAGAAGTGGAAGGTCTTATCACAGGCTTTGCAGACAAAACTCTTCTTGGACTAAGCTTTGTCTTGGGATTCCTTTGCTTCTTTGGCACCAGCTCCTCCTGCCTCCTGTCCTCATCTTTGTCCAGAGATTTAACTTGGGATTCACTGTTCACCTTCCACTTCCTGATCCCGGGTTTCTCCCCACTTCTCTCAGTCAAGAGACCTATGGAAATAGCAATTACTGGTTCGGTGGTGACCAGTAGGACTGGGTACCTGCTCCTCAGTCTCACATCTCCTGAATGCTCCTACACAGGCAGTTTGTCCTGCACAGAGGCAATCAGACACTCTGCCCATTGCAATGGTGCCACATGGCTCTGCCCAAAAGTGGCTCTCGCCGTGCGTGGTAAAGATGCATAAAGAGTGATCCTTGAATTTCTCCACCACACATACCAGGGCCAGATTTTCCTAAAAGCTTGCTCTCCTCAAACTGTTGCTTCCAAGCATTTGCCTCCTGCTCAGACACATGAAGTTACAGCCATGCTTAAATGTTTGCAGACCTGAGCCTCAGATATGATACTGCCTAAATCTGCCACTGAGAGTGGATATCCAGCCCTTAATTACGAGAAGTCTCAGAAACACTTCACAAACACAAACTCTTTGAAAGGGAACAGATAATCTTACTATGACCCTTTTGAGTCTTCTGCTTGGGGCCCTGAGGTATTTTAAATCGCTCATTATGTTCATTTCTTACAAAGCTTAATGCTTTCCCTGTCCCTGTAACACCATCATCTCAAAAAGCACAAGCTGGAAAATTCACCCAGGATCTCAATCTACAGAAAAAACCCACAGGGAATGTACGTATGGAAGAAATCAAAATACAAACAGATACATTTGTCTTCTTTGCTATAATGAGAACCAGGAAACTGTGTGACCATGGAAACCAGCACAGACTTCTCCCTTTGCCAAAGTACGGGAAATTCACCCTGTGCTTGCAAAACTTCATCTCTGCCTCCTTCACTATGGGAAGAACTCAGCAGTGTCTCCCCACACACCACTACTGCCCCAGATGTCCAACCAACTAGAGACTAAATGATATATTCCAACAGACCTGGAAATCTTAAGATGCCAAGTGGTGAACCATAGCCTGTGAACACATCAAGGGAGAACTTACAGCAGACTGGAAGACTGGTTTCCAGTTTGTCCTGCTCTGCCAAGGTTGCCTTGACCTGTCACCTCTTAGGTTTCTTCCCACATCCCTGCAATCAACACTGTCAGTTTTTTCTGACCCAAGTGAAGAAGGATAACTGTACTTTTTTTTTTTTTTTAAACATAAGACCATGAAGAAGAAAAGACTTTTCGTAGAGTTTTGACACATTTCTGAGACTGGAAAGTGAGACCTATCTTGACAAACGTGATCTCCCAAGAAGTGACTGTAGAGAGCACTGGAAAGCAGATGGCTGGAGAGGAGGTTATGGAGTTGGCTGAAAAAGCCAAACCCTGTCCTTGCATGCACCAGCTGCCAGCACTGACAGTGCTCCAACTACAGCAGGACCCCAAGGAGAAGCCAAGAGATTCCACGTTGTACCTCCACCAAAAGAATCAACTCATTACTCTGATAATGCTGAGCGTGGTTGGGAATGGATGCAGTTTCCTCCACGGGGCACTCCAAGTGCTTCAGCTCACCTGAAATTGAAACATGAATTACCAGAAATTTTCGAGGGCTTTTTTGCAGTAGAGATGCAAAACCTGTTGTTTTCAAGTGGAAATGCGACTGTCCACATCTCCATGTGGCAAACAATGCTCTCAGAAACATAAGGTCTCCTCAGCTTCCAGAGGAAGCTCACACCGCTGAGACATGAGGCCCAGAGCTACCACTCATATCTCATGCCAAGAGCCACATGGCTATTGGTTCATAAAGTCACCTGCAACATTTGGGGCTGGTAAGCAGTGGTGTCGGAGCTGAGGAGCCTCAAAATTAAGATATTGAGGTTCAGTGCAAAGATCTGTAGGATGCCAGAAAGAGGATGGTACCTGGCAATCCTCCTCTGGACACTTCATCCAGAATAGATGTTTTTTTGCCAAGTAAATACCATTTTCCAGGGCTTTTGTTTTTGATGTTGCTTCTTGCTTGATTTCGTCTCAACCTTGGCTTGACTCCCTGCAAAGACACTCAGTGACAGCAGTTCTGCTCTCTCTGATGTTGCTGCCAGAGAGGCAGGATCTGCCAGAGCCATGGCAGCAGCTCCCCAGGCCCCTCTGGTCCCCACTGCAAGGTGTCCATGAGCTCGTGTGGGCTGCACATTCACAGACACATAAACTGCTGGCTGACCTGCTCCACAGTCATCAGGGCACAAGGCATAGCCACACAGGGTGGGACAAGTGCCTGCAGGATCAGAAGGAGACAGAATGAAAGGCAGATAAGAAAGAATCACCTCTTCTCTGGAAATCAGAGCTGGATTGGTGGCAGCTCTTGGTGGAGTTAGAAGAGAGGACCTAGATCTGAACTGGGTGTAGGACATCTCTCAGGAGTCCACTGAGGCAAGGAAGGGGAGCAGAGCATGTGCTGTCACCCTCCAAGCCCTACAGCTAAAACAGTCATTGAGATCCTAGATTTCTTCTACCTGTGCCCTGCTCCCAGACACCCAGTCCCACCTTCCAGCAACATTTCCTCACTACTCAAGACTGTGGGGACACCAACACCCCCAGGGTGCAGAGGGTGACCTGCCCCCAGCACAGGGGGCCAGGCTTTGTCTGTCCCTGCCAAACACAGAGTGAGGGTGAGTTTCAAAGCCACGAGGCTTAAAGACTGATGGCCCTGACCCATATTTTCAGACCAAGTCATTCAACTTTCTATCCCTAAAAAAAGAGGAGACATTAATAGCAACCTGCTTACTCTAACTCCCCAGCAATCTACTGGCATTTCCACACAAGGAAATAGGGATGGATTGAGCCTGTGCTTGGATAAAAACCACACTGTGCACATCCCAGTGGAGTCCGCAGCCCAAAAAATCTGGATGCACTCGGAAACACGATGCCATGAAAATGTATGTGAGCAAACAGAATTAGCAAGTCACATTTGCATCTCTTCCAGGAGAATGCACACCTGCAGTTACCTCCCTGGACCTCTGTTATCCCTGTCATTAAAGCACCAAATCCAGTTCAGCGTTTTCCCTTCAAATGCAAAGACACAATTGGGCTCAGCTGGAAAGCCTCCCACAGCTCAGGGCAGGGCTCACACGTGGTTACAGCTTTGCATTTGTTCTGGAGTTCATCAAATTGCTCTCTGTATGGGATGGTGGATGGTGGCACATGGCACACAGCACAGGAACAGACTCCATTTTGGTTTTGTCCTGGGGGGGCCAGGCTACAGCTTGTCTTGGTTGGTTAAACCATTCCCTCTTCCACGCAATCTTTTACTATTAGTGTTGTGTTTATTGCAATTTCTCCAGTGTATTGTGACTCCAATTTGTAATCCTCTTAGGATGTTTTTTTCCTCTGCTATCGAAAAGGGCACTGTTTGAGTGGGCTTGGTCTTCCTGCTGAGTTTTAAAACTAGCACAGATCCTCACAGGGGAGCATTTGCTCTGTAAAGTGCATATGGAGCAAGGCTAAATTAAAGCATTCTAAGAAAATTAACTCAGAAAATAGTCTTTGACTGCAAACTGCGCCATCATGGTCATCTTTGCACATGACAAGTGTGCTCTGCCATGATCTTCCTGCAGCCTGTGAAAAATCCACATAGAGAAAGGCAAGTGACTGTAATCTAAATCCAAACTGATACAGATCCAACAGCACAGGAAGAGCCAATGAAACCTCACAGCTTAAGGATAATAATTCTGAAAAATAATCCAATATAGATACAAATTACAGAACTAAGCTGCTTAAATGCTTCCAGAGCAAGGGCTGGGGTGGAAAAATGCAAACACAGTTAAAGAACACCAGTATAGGGTCAGTTATGGGCTCCACAACCCTTGTAACATACAAAACTTCGACATGGTGCATGTTACCAGCAGGAGAAACACACACTCCAGTGCCTGGAACCAGAGATCTCCCCTGCAAATCCTCCTGCAAGCACAACCCCAACACCTGGCCAGGGCATCAGGCCACCAGGACACTTGGTCCACCACCAAACTGTCACCCACAACCATGTGTAAAAGGGTGAAGCCTGTGCTTCTCTTACCCACGTGGCCCAGCTCCTGCATCACTGGCTGCAGGTCTGGGAAGGACTCATGGACACTGCACAGCACCTGGTAGATCTTCATGGTCAGGACACACTTCTCCTGGGCTCTGCTCAGAGCCGCTTTCAAGGAGGCCTCTGAACTTTCCTTCTGAGCAGAAATACTCAGTAGCTGGAGAAATAATAAGAAGACAAGATCACCTGAAAGATTTTGGGCTGTGAAAGGTCAGGCTGGTCTGGGAGTGAGGGCACATCCTTCCTGATTCATCTCTACTGCTGGGAATCTGCTTTGAGAAACCAGAAAAGAAATCCCTTTCCATACACGTCTGTCCCTCCACTGTGCATGAGTTGAGAGAATTTCAGGGTTAAGAGAAGTTCTCAGACTTTCTGTTTTGGTATTATCTCACTTTAAACCACCTTTGCATGGAAAAAGAGGTTGTTCCTCAACACCTGGCAACATTACCAGCTCACCTAACTCACAAACCTGTGCTTCATCAGGTCTCTTCATCACAACTCATATCTAATCTTAAGCTGCCCTCTGTCATTTTAAGGCCATTTCCCCTTGTCTTGTCACTTGCAAAAAGTCCCCCTCCAGCCTTCCTGCAGGCCCTCATTTATATAAAACACCCAATAAAGCCTCCAACACACTCACTTCAGCAGAGAGGCACTTCCAACTTTGGATGGCTTTCAATGCTTATGAGGGCCTGTCCACCCTTTGAGCCCCAAACCATGCCATCTTCAAGAGCACCCCCTCATACCTCTTTCACTGCTTCTGTGAGCCAAGCCCTTGTCAAGAACTGCCAAACAGATGAATCCAAGAAGGATTTTTTCACCACTGAAGTTTCTAAATTGAAGACGATGCACAGTTGTAGGAGAAACCAAACCCAAACCTTATAATTTATCCAAGACATCCATGCACAATTTTTGTTTCTGTACTTCTGCCTTTTAATCATTCTGGTTCAGTACCAACAAGAACAATCCATGATTCTCACAGAACTATCTGGGAGAAAAACAGCTAAACACACACAGCATGGGGAGGAAAGATAAAGTCTCTGGGACCCAGAAGACACAGAGTGCCGGGTAAGGGGAGAAAACTCTCTGGGATGGAGAAGGAGGCAATGGCAGGCTGGGGGAATAATAAAGGAAAGATTCTGAGCTATTATGAAAAGCTCCCTGAACAAAGACTTCTTGGAGACACGAGTCTGATCCCCAGCAAAGCCAAGGGAAATTCACAGGTGAATTATTTCCCTCCTTCTCCCATCAGAATGCTTCTGATTTTATGACGCAAATTTGAGTTGCTATGAATGCACTCTCAGCTCTGCTGCCGTGCCAAGGTGAGCTCCAGAGCCAGAGTGTGCCCTGTGCCAGGTGCAGGACCTCCTCCTCACCATCAGCAGGACAGCATGGTGACACCAAAGGTGCCACCAGCGAATCCATCAGTCGCCGGGAAAATCAAATCATTCCCTCCCTCTTCATTTCCACGATAAGAAATATTTGTGCCTCTGTTTGTTCAAGCTGCAATTTGAGGAGATTCAGCTCTGTGTAATTAAGGAATGCTCCTCCTTGGAATGGGTATTACCACGAGATAATTAACCATGCTGGGAGTCTGGTGTTTCAAGAAAGCAATCGTGCTTAACAAATGACAAAGCAAAGTGCCTGTCGGGAATGTTTGCTACAGAGGAAATTATCAGCATTATGAGCACAGTTTTGCTTTCTATTAAACACTCATTTACATTTCACTGCATGTTAATTTAGTTTTTAATTTTTATGTGACTTCAGAGCCTCTCGATGTGAATTGCTCGGGGTGTGTCTAAACACACCCAAAGTTGGAAGACTGTCCCACCAGGCAAGGGATGGGGGCTCCCGAGTCCCTGAACCATCACAGGCAGGCAGCAACAATAAAACCCCACCAAAATAAACACATGGCCATCCAAGACAATGATGTCTAACAGGGACACTAAGTGTGGGATTCCCATCAGCATACTCTGCTCCACATAAGAGAGCACGAGCTGAAATGCCACCTGGAACAAGGACAGGAGCCCAGCCCACATAAATTTCGCCCCCATCTCCCTCCATCACAAGGAATTCCAGGTATGAGACTGTCTGTATTTAATGTCAACATCTACAATTTTGGGGAATTTTTAGCTATTTGCTTTCAAAGCCAGTCAGTACCATAAGTTAAAGTCACCAGTGGAAGTTTAGTCTACTCATACCTTTGCTATCAGAGATGTTTGCTGCTGCCACCAAGTTGTCCAGCAGAAGCTGGAGCCCAGGGAATGATGCTTTCACAGCCCCCAGAAGTTTGATCAAGCTTTCCACATTCAGGGTTTTCTCTTCATCCACCTTCCTGAGCAGGTTGTCCATGGCTTCCCCCTCAGAGCTGCTTTCACAGCAATCCAAAACCACCTGCAACAAAAAAACCAGCCACAAACCTGCCTGTGAGAGCTTCCTACAAACTCTTGGAGCTGAGCTGAGATCAGAAAAACAGGAGCAGCATCACAGTACTGCAATAGATCCATACCCACTGCTTCCACAGTTTAACTGGGAGGTGTTACAGGGTGCTGGTTACAGGAACACCTGCACGTGTCCCAGGTGTAACCGATGTGCATCGGCTCAAACACCACCCTCGTGGGTTCTTCCACCAAGTCCAGCTCTTGGAAGTGGCTGACAAGCAAAAAAACCATTTTTTTAAAGGAAACAAAAATAGACTTAAAGACAGTGTTCAAACCAACATAACATTTTTAGTAAATACTTTTAAAATTGAGAGTCTCTCTTCCCTTGTCCCCCCGATTTTTCTGCTTGCCATCAAAAACCAGATGGACAGAGAAAAAACATTCTCTTTATTTAAATAATCATCTATTAATTGAATTATTCTTTCTCTGACGAGGCCACATGAGACATCTCTTACATTAGATGCAATTAGCTCTAGGATACCATTAAAATACCTCCAAGGGAGAGGCAGCCAACAAATACAGGTTGACCTCCTCTCCATCAATGCTATGCTCCTGAGCAGAACCTCTGCAGGGCACCAGCTCAGTTCCCTGCTGACAAAAGCACTACACACTTCACAGTCCCATCAATAAAATTATTAAGATCTGTCCTAAAACTAGTTACATTTTTACTCCCTTTCCCCTGGTTGAAAAGCTCTTCCACAGCTTCATTCCCCTGCTAATTCTTCTGATTTTCAGCTAAAATTTATTCATGGCTAGTGTATGCCTGTTTGTACATGTGCAGCATTATCTTTTAGCTTAAAAAGCCTTCTAAACTCTCTGAGATGTTTACTCTACCCTTCCTCTCCAATTTCATTATAGAAGCACAATCATATTCCCTTTCAGTCTTCATTTCCCTTGTCTACATAAGGCAGCTCCTCCCATAAAGCAGCTTCTCCACTCCCCTGATCTTCCCACTGCAGATCTGTCAAGTTCCAATATGAATTCACCTTTTTTGAACCAGACTGGAACAGAAATTTCTGCAGGGTCATCCAGAGCAGATGACACAGGAACTTGTCCAGGTGGCTTTGGAATGTCTCCAGAAAGGAAAGCCCCACACCCTCCCTGGGCAGCTGTTCCAGTGCTCTGCCACCCTCAATGGAAAGAAGTTGTTCCTCAAGTTGAGGTGGAACTTCTTGTGTTTTAGTTTATGGCTATTGCTCCTCGTCCTGTCTCTGGGCACCACTGAAAAGAGTCTGGCACTGAAAAGACTCAGCATCTGCCTTTAAGGTATTAATGAGATCCCCTCTCAATCTTCTCCAGACTAAACAGGCCCAGCTCCTGCAATCTCTCCTCATACAAGAGATGCTCCAGACCCCTCACCACCTTTCTGGCCTCCACTGGACCCTCTCCAATAGCTCCTTACCCTTCTTGTCCTGAGAAGCCCAGAACTGGACACAGCACTCGAGATGTGCCTCACTAGGGCTGAGTAGAGGGTCAGGATCACCACCCTCAACTGCTGGCAACACTCTTCCCAGTGCACCCCAGAATCCCACTGGCCCTCCTGGTCCCCAGGGCACACCATCGGCTCAGGGACAGCTTGTCACCCACCAAGACACCCAGGTCCTTCTCAGCAGAGCTGCTCTCCAGTAATTCAGCCCCCAACCTGTGCTGGTACTTGGGGTTGTTCCTCCCAAGGTGCAGGACCTGCACTTGCCCTTGTTGAACCTCATTTGGTTTCTCTCTGCCCAATTCTCCAGCCTATCAAGGTCCTGCTTAATGGCAGGACAGCCTTCAGATGTACCAGCCACTCCCCCCAGCTCCATATCATCAGAAAATCTGCTCAGGGTGCATTTGATCCCTTCATCCAGGTGTTTGATAAACAAGTTGAATGAGACTGGACCAAGGACTGATCCCTAGGGAATGCCACTGGCTACAGGCCTCCAACTGGATTCTACTCTACTGATCACAACCCTCTGAGTCTGCCATTCAGCCAGTTCTCGATCCACCTCACTGTCCACTCACCTAACCCACATCCCCTGAGCTTACCTATGAGGATATTATGCCTTGCTGAAGGTAGACACCATCCACTGCTCTCCCCTCATCGCCCCATCCTGCCATGCCATCACAGAAAGCATCAAATTGCTCTTAACTGATTGTTGAGAGATGTCCTTTGAGCTGTAATTTGCCTTCAGCTGTAGGAAATTTCTGTTTCTGTGCTTCTCCTGGATAGGGCCCCAGGCTCAGAAAAGAGTTTACAGGTCCTCTCCTCTCCTTTTTCTTTACTTGATCAGACAAATGTCTGTGCATGATATCTGCCATGATGCCCAGCAGCCTGATGTGCCACAAGCCTCTTCACAGCTCTACAGTACATTTATTTGCCTCTCATATGTTTTGGCCATTCCCTGCAGGTCCTAAAACCTTCCCTCAAGTTATTCACTCATTCAGGTCTGTAACCTCTTACAGAAGTTCTCTCTCATTCAGGATGCAAACTTCAGACAGTTCTCCTACCTTTAACATAAAAGAAACTAATCCAACAGCTCCTCCTCCGCTCTAATGAGCACCTGAACTCCTTAATTAGTTTCTCTCATTTCTAAAGATCCGTCCTTTTGTAGCCCAAACTCTGTTAGTGAACCTGTTGATGTATCCTCCCATCCAATTCACACCGAGCTGCCTCTGGATCCCTCAGTCTGAAGTCTGAGAAGAGGTACAAGAGCAGCATCTCTTGGGGAGCTCATGCTGCACTGTGGTCACTGAACTCTGCAACAACCTAAGCCATGAGACACCACGAATGAAAGGTTACCTGCTCTTCCTTTGTATCCAGCTTTATTTCTTTTAGGTGATAATCTGCTTCCAAATCCTCTGCCCCCTCTCCCCACATTACAGAAACACCAAAAAGCCACAGAAGTTAAGCACTCAAAAAAAGAGAAAGGCTAAGTTAAAAAATTCCCCAGAAAAAAACACCAGAGATTTACGAAGAGGCTTCACAAAACATCGTGTACTGATTTTCCAGCAAAGAAAATCAAACCTGCTCCACGCACAGCTCAGACCAGGCACAGAAAGAACCCAGTTGCCCAGAAAGAACCCAGTTGCCCAGAAAAAAGGCTGTTACATGAGAAACTACCACTTATCTTGCTGAATAAATATGTAGCTAATGAGGCAGCGACTGTGAGAAGAAAAAGGAAAGCCTCATCTTTATGAACCCTTGGAGAACTAGATCCCATCCCTGCCAGCCCAGTGCAACACTGGCTGAATCAGGTAAGACGAAACCTTCAGAGGTGGCTGCTAATTCCATGTTCTTTTTCCCAGTCCCTGAGACACCAGAGATCCCACCTGCACATGTGCTATGGGCCCACCATTTTAATCAATTTTTCTGGAATAACTAAACACTTTTCCATCGGTCTGAGGGGAGAGGGTAGAATTAAACAAATAAACCAAACCTGAAAACCAGGAAAGCTGTTAAGATCAAGTCTACGCTTGGCAACTTCTGCCTTGTTTTCCTGTGCCACAGCAGGACAGAGCTCTGCCCCCCTCCTTACCAGAGTGCTCCCCAAAGACATCTGTTATTCGATGGGAAACTGTGGGCTGAAACAAGAGCATGAAGGGGTCCCACAGAGGGAAGAAGGATTTGGTATTCGGAGCAGGGTTTGGAAGCTCTGCAGCAAACGGAGCACACAGTGACTGACAAGGATGAAAAGAAACACGGAATAACACTGCTCCTCCACCAAAGGAGGCAGAAGCCCTGCAGCACATGATGATGCAACTACAGGCTGTATCCTGTGCCCAAGGAGCAGAATTACGATGGCAGAATGGTTTGGGTTATTACTGGGGGGTTGTGTTTGTTTTTGAAAATGGGAAGGGAAGCAAAAACTGGCTGAATTTTAACTACCTGATCCCACGAAGACAAAAAGAAGAGTGCAAGGAAAAGGTGCAGCCTTTAAAAGAGAGGCCATACTGCAACATGAACAGGCATATATGAAAATACTAATTTCCCCACTGCTGATGAAGCTGCCAGAGCTTGGTGCTCAGCTGTGCCTGTGCTCAGGGATGCTCCACTCTGGATCCAGTGAGGGACCAGGAGCAAGGCAGACCTTGCTTGAGGGGATCATGAGCCGGGCAGAGGTTCTCAGCCCAGCTGTCGTGGCTCTGGTCAGGATCACTCAGACAGAAAGCAGAGATCATTCATGCCACTGAGCACAACTTTCCACTCACTATAATCCTGTGTCAGAGGAACCAACTGATGTGACAAACTAGGACAGGAGGTCTCAAGCTGCGTCCTGATTGCAGCATGTGAGGGCACCCTGTAAGTTCCAGCTGCACAGGGTACAGCCAGCTCCCCCCAAACACAAAGGAAAGCAGGTTACACACAGAACTTTGTCCTTTATGGCTTCTGCAAATCAGCACATAGTGCAATTGCTTACATGAAAGGAGAGCAACAGTCCTCCCCACCAACTGCTGCCTTCAACACATAAAAAGTAACACCAAAACAGTTAGACTTGCAGACAACTGTGTGGTAAGAGCCACAAAAAAAGAGTTAAAGCTGGGAGTCAGCTGAAAGGGAAGCTGATGACCAGGAACTGGCAAGCACGTAGCAGAGTGGTTCTGCTCACACTCCCCCACAGAGCCTTCTCCATGCTCCCAAAAAGGCATTTTCGGGGCTAGGAGAAATACCAGGCACCTCCTCTGCCCCAGGCTCCACGTGCAGGGGCAGTCTGACACAGATCCTGGTTTTGAGGTTGCCTTCACTGCTCAGCTGTCACTATTCCCACAGTCCAGCACAGAAGGACCTGAGAGCACACACGTGCTTTGCAGAAGGCAGGTGAAACAGCCAGGTGAGGTAAACCACGGTACGACACTGCTTTGCATCCCACCGACATCCCACCTCACCCACACTCATTCCAGATGTTTTTACCCACTTCTCCAAGGGGGTCAGGAATCCCTCTTCTGCTGCCTCCAAGAACTCCACGATGGGGCTCAGCTGTGTCACGCTCTGGATCAGCTCCTCCCTGCAGCCCAGCAAGCGAGCGGTCAGCGTCTCCTCCTCAGCTCTGTTCTCTGGGGGGAGAAGGATTCAGAAGCACAAGAGAAGAAACAAGTCAGTCTGAAGGAACTGACAGGCTCCTGAAGCAAGGGAGACTCTGTGAAAGATCTAAGTGAATAGCAAAGCTCATCCCAAGCACAAGCAGCAGAGGAAAATCACTTTACTATTCTCTTTAAACTCTATGAAAGGAAAATGTCTGATTTATCTAACAGAGCACAAAGCCATAAAGCAAGCTGGAGGTTAACACCAGGTTTGCAAGGCCACTGCTTTGTGTCAGGTTCGAGTAAGAAAGAAGCCTTCAATCCCAAGCCTCAGCTGTGCTCTGACCCACGTTAGCTGCCAGCCATCGATCCAGCCCTCCGGGCAGTGATGGGGAGAGCCCTGCACGGCTACACCTGCTGCTGCAGGCAGAAATGCTCCAGGATCTTGGCCAGCACGTGATAAACCTCCTGCATCCAAGGACACAGGGTTTCTCTGCTTTGCCTGTAAGATTACCCACTCAATTTGCAAAGAGGCAGCACCCAATTTCCTACCTCCTTGCCATGGGGCTTTTCCAGTGCCCTGTTCCCTCTCCAGCAGAGCTGCTCTCAGCCTGGAATTCATGTCTTGAAACAGCTTCAGAAAAGACAGGAGCGTCTGAGCGTCCAGGGGCCAAGTGTCCTGGGTGTCACTATCCTGGGTGTGAGTATCCCTGAGCCGAGCATGCTCCACTTTGCTCAGCAACTTCTTGAACAGTGACTGTTCCCCTGCCTCGGCGAGACAGGCGGCCAGAGCCTACAGCAGAACAGAAATGCAAGAAGACTTGGATAACAGAGTGAACTGCCCCATACAAACACACATAACAAGCAGAACCCCGGGGTTTTGTTCAGGGGACAAAATTAGACAGAAAAAAAACCCCAAACAACCCCACATAGACACACACTACTGAACCCAAGCTCTAGCCCTGGGAAGGAAGGCAGCAAGCCCTGCTGCCAGCCCTTACCTGTACAGCAAATCCCCCAAACTGGAGCTGGTTCCAGCACCAAACCTCTCTTCATGTCTTCCCCAAATAGCCACAGGCCAATAAGTGTCAGGGACCTGATAAACCATGGATTATAACCACTACTTTGGAAGGCCAAGGCTGGGGCAAGGGATACGGGATCTCACTGCAGAACAAGGAGGGATCACTTGCATAGAAAGCAGAGAGCATTTCAAACAGGACTTTCAGGAATCTCCAACCTCAGTCACAGTGGAGTTTTGTCTCCTAGAGAGAGCTCTGGAGAGGAGGCACACAAACTCTTGAGTGCCGGGGGCTCCCAGCATGCCGGGCAATCAAACCCAGAGCTCCAAAATCTACTCCAGTGACCTGAAACAGCAACCAGAGGCAAACGAGCCTGTGCAGTTATGGAAATAAAAGGCAAAGAAATAAGCTGGGACTCTTGCTCCTACTTCCCCCAAGTCCTTTAGTGCTGTAAACACTGCCCCTGAAGACACAGGCTCCCCAGCTCTCCAGGAGAGATGCCAGCCTTTTGGAGCAGGCGGCCTTTACTGGGGACTCCAGGGATGCTATAAAGGTGCCTTTGAAGTGGGGAGTTCAGCCCCGCTCCAGGGAGAACGGCCATTTTCTGCTGTCACTGTCATTTTTATGCCGGTGATAAAAAGACTGAATGCAACTGCTCGGGGCTGCGCCGGGGGAGGGCGGGCTGGCTTTCCCAGAGGGTGGAAATGCTCCTGGATCTGGGGAGCAAGGCAGTGCAATGACCCAGTGCAGTGACCGTCCTCAGAGGGGAAGCTGCACGAGTCCCAGCTTCTCCCACTCGGTTTTCCTGCCCAACAGAGACTGTGGACATGAAGGGCTCTGGTGTAAAGAAGAAAGGAGATGTCGCAGATGCGCTGGAGAACAAACTTAAAGGTATATTTATTTTTTTTTTTAACGCAAACATTAATTTGTAATGAGACTTGATAACCAGATCATGTTTGTTCTCAAGGTTTGCATGCCTGGCCTCTTCCAGATCAAAACGAGCCTGTAAAACACAAAATACCTCCACTCTCACCATCCTGAAGGTGTTCAGATCCTCCCGAATCCATGTTTGTACTAATATGGATGAAAAATAACTTGTCATTGTTGCAATAGATTTTTTTAATTTTGGGATTTTTTTAATTAAAATAGCACAGCATTGCTACCCAGAGCCCCAGGCAACATCCCTTCCTCAGTGCATGGACTTGGTTAATGGAAATGACTTTTCAGTAACTGATCTGCTATTTATGGGCTCTTTCCAGAAGACTTTTCCTCAGACATGTTGCTCAGTGGGAACAACAGCCTTTTGGCATTGCTAGGAAAGAGCACACAGTACATTTTATACTTACTTTGAAGCACTAACAATCCCAAAAGATCCCGGAAAAAATGGAGAAATACTGATCCTAGGTGGAATCCCAGCTTCCATTTAGTCATAATATGCCCCCACATCCATCAGGCTTTCACTGCCTGGGATGCTGCAAAACCCTTCCTGGCCAAGTTGGCACAAATTAGCACACATCCAGCTTCCAGATGGGAGCAAGAGGGAAACTGAGTCACCAAGACCTGCCTTAAGCTTGAGCTGTGCCACCAAACAGGCTCCATGGTGACTGAGAAGTTTGGTCCCAGTTGAGGATGTCAGTTCTGGAGGCCACAACACTCCCAGCTCACACAACACCTCAATGGTCACACACCACGGAACAGCCCTCCCAGTTCATCTCAGACCTTCCCATGCCCATGGCAGCCCCAAGGCAACCTCTGAACAGGAATCTCTGCAGGTAAGGGCCCAGGAGGTAGCTCTCCTATCTCTGCATCTTCCATGTTTTTCCAGAGAGGACCTCAACCAGATGGGCAAACAATGTACATCCCCCAGGCAAGGCACAGTGGCCCATAACTGAGACTAACCAGGGATGTGAGGAGAGAGGGAGGGCAGGGCAGTCACTAGCCCAGCTGGCCACTAGCTCTTCCCTGCAGGTGGGAGACCAGGGTTATGGCTTTTCATGCTTTATCAATGCTCCTGCTCCCACCGTGAGAGCAACATCCCAGCAAAAGCCACTTCAGTGACTATTTCTGAGTGATCTCCTTCAAGCATTGGCTTTAGAGTGAATGCAAACTTCCAGAGGGTGGTGAGGAGGGATCTGCAAGAGACAGGTTGAAAAGCAGCTGTTCAGGGTGGCAGAAGAAGCTGGCTCCCTTCAGACTTCTCCTGTGTGAGCAGAGGGACACTCAGGCACACCACAGGAGGCTGGGCACCATGGGGAAACTTCCAGAGCCACAACATCAGTGCCCTGTGAATGAACGCTGCTTTGGGGTTTATACTGTTAATTTTCAATGTGAAGAAGGTGAAAAAAATATAAAAAAGTCATTGGAAACCTGCACAGACTCGCAGGGTTGGTGCACACACAGGCCCAGGACAGGCTCCACACACCTGGCTCTCAGAGAAGCTCCTTGGCTGTGACCCCACCATGAAGTCAATCAACTATCACTGTGCATACAATAATCAGAAAAAACTGTGTTCCCCCTTCTCCTTCAGAAACCCAAACTGCTTTTTTTTATAAGCCTGCCTCTGTATGTGACTGATGAGGGAGACCCCATGAAGGCTCTGTGGACAATGCTGACCTCCTGCTTGCTCAACTCAACAGGAGCAAAAGTTCAGCCCAAACTTCTACACAAGCACACCAGAATAGGGTGGAAAAAAGTTCCCTAGCTCTGTCACCACGACAGGAAAAAAAGCAAAACCCTCACAAGCTCTCACTGCTAATCAGGATGCAGAAGATAACAGGAAACTTCTTTCTTCTGCTGCATCCAGAAATCCCTGCAGCTGCAAATGAAGGACGACAACCAACGATTGGACAGGCCCACAGGCAATGGAAACGATCCACAAGCACAGTGACATTTATTCTACGTGGGAGCATCAACGCTCCCCCACTTCATCTGAACCCAGCAGTACAGGGAACAAATGAGCTGTGCAATAATTTGAATTGAGTTTCTCTAAGAGAGCACAGGAAGATAAGACTTGACACCAGCAAAGCTCTTCCACGCTTCCCCAAATTACTGCAATTTCAGTCTTGTTCTCATTTCCAAGCAGGTTTCATCCAAGTCGGAACCAAATTAGATAGGAATAGTTTATGCGAGATATACAGAGAAACTCTAAAGCAAAAACAAGCCCAAAAATCACATCTCCCTAAACTGAAAAGCAATTCATCTGCATTTTTCAGTTCGGGGAGCAGAACAGAACACCAAAATCAGAAGAGAAGCAATAGTTATCACAAAAGCCAACCTTGTACCACAAACCTTCTGGGGAAAAAAGCCCACGACCAAACAAGTCTCCACTGGAAGCAGGAGGGAATAGGCAGGAACAGCAGAGGGGAGCAGACAGGAGTGCTGCAGGGAACAAGGCACCATGCAGGGATGAGCTCACCAGCAGTGGAAAAGAAATAAAGAAGCATCCAAACCCAAATCCCAGAGAAACCAGAGGAGCCTGAACACCAGGACAGCCTTGGTGCCAACAGGCAGGCTTGCAAAACCCCCCTGAACCCTCACACTGCCCAGGCTTTGCTGCCCAAAGCACATCACTGCTTGCTCAGAGAGATCAGCCACCCCCAAAAGGCTCCCAAGAGGAAGCACCCAAGGGATAGGAGACCTCCCCTGCAGCAGGGCAAGCACACCCAGCAATGCTTTCTGCAAAGAAACCACATCTCACCTGCTTCCAGACCTGCTTTTACTCGCCCCCAGCCACCCAAGACTTCAAGCAAATGACTAGCAAAAGGATGCAAAGAAGGGGAGGGGAAAAAAAAGGAGATAGAAAGAAAATCCATTGACATCTACCACTGGCACAACCTCAGCCTGAATTACACATCCGAGCTGGGCTCTTAGGAGCTGAACTTGCACTTCAAGCATGACTTTAAAAACACACCGCTGTGCTTCCCCCTAAAGAAAACACCAGGCCCTTCTGGGAAAGCTGTTCTGTGTGCTACAAACAGAGCCCAGACTCAGTGCTGGTGCCCAGAGGTCCCGCTGATCTCAGAGGGGAGCTCAGAGAGGGACAGATCTGGTTGAGTCCTTGCTTACAACAGGCTGCAGCCTGTTCCCCCGCTGCCCTGGGGCTGACACTTTTCATGCTTGTCACAGCTGAGAAGTGATTTTTCGGGAAGGCTTAAAGAAAATCCATTTCTCATTTATTCAGCATTTATTTATAGCTGCAGAAAAATTGTCCAGCTACCGCTTTGCAGTCAGACACCCCAACCGGCTCTGAGCACCACAACCTCTCTGCTTGGCTCCTGCTGCAACAGCTCTTTTGGGAGCACAAAGGGCCGCGAATGGGTCTGTGAACCTTCCCTGCTGGGTCTGAGGTGCTGAAGGAACATGAAACAGCAGTGACTGCAAAGCAATAGCAAGCGAGGCCGTTGTGCAGCACAGAAGTTGCACCTCACCTGCCTGGGCACTCTGCCGGCACAACTCTGCCCTGCCACGAGCAGCAAGGGGGGCAGGAGACAGTGGTGGTGCTGCTGGCACGGGGGCATCGAGTTGCTAAATCCCTTCTGGCCACGGCCATCCCCACTGCACAGCACTCACCCCAGCTCTGCTCCTATTGTAAGGGTGGAGAACAGTAAAACCTTAAAGCTGCCATATTGATCTGATCACAGCAACAAACAAACGTACAAAAATCTAATCCTTCTCTGAGCAGGGCATTCAGAGGTGCTTGTCAGCCCAGCCAGGCTTGGGCTTGCCACTGCAAATAGAAATCTGTCTCCTAAAGGCCACGAGATGTTACATTCAATAACGTCAGGAGAACCAGCAGCTAAGGGAACTCGGGTTTCCCTCCATGAACATTTAAGGACTCAGCAGAAAACAATCCTTTGCTCCCCAGCTCAAGGGAATTCTCCTCCCTGCTGTCATACATGTTTTGGGGTTTTTTTCCTAACAGACATAATGCCTTGGGCTTTTATAAGCAGAATGCCACCACGGCCAAAATGTTCCATGTCCTGCTGTTTCTGTGGTGGCTCTGAGCTGGGACAAGAGCTGGTATGTGGCCACCACTGCTCAGAGCCCAGAGTACTCTTCAGCACACCCCAAGCACCAGACTCAGCTATGCCCTCCAACAGAAACCAAGCATCATTCACCAGCTCTGACTGCTCTTAAAGCAGCACACTGCCAGGAGAAGCATCACGGGGCAGCACCTGGCACCCCCCTTCCACCCTCCATTCCACTGCCCCCTCAGCAGCTCTGCCATCCACAGTGCAGCACAGGCTCCACAGCAAGACAGTGCCAAGAGCTTGGGAAACCTATATTGGGATCTCATATGTCAGTTGTTTACAAGTCGATGCAGTTCCTGAAGCAAATGCCATAAACAGGAGGAGAGAAATCTGTGCTGGAGCTCTCCTAAAACACAAGGATGTCTTCAGGGCAGGACATACTTTTTATCTGTGTGCATGAGCAGCTTGCACTTACAGATGCTTCTCTCCAGGGTGGTGCTCAGGTGAGCACATGGTGCCCTTCAAACAACCAGGCACCAGTTTCCCATGCAACAATTTCCTGAGCAAGGCACACTATCCTAGCCCTTAGCAGGATGGGCTAAGAAAAACTTGTATCATTTATGGAAGTAAACACACCTACCTCCTTTTGAGAGGCATCAGTTTCTCTGCTCGAGTCTTTTCAGCACAGCCTGGGCATCAGAAAGGGCCTCAGAGAAAACACTTTCATATCGAAGAAAGAAATCCAGTTTACAGCTTTTGCTCTCTGCTGCTGTGCGAGAGAAACAAGATGAGTTATTTGCTAATTGAAGGGATTCGCAGAAAGCACGATGTGACTGAAAGGCATCGGTTTGTAACCAGCACATTGGCTATAATAGGAAAACTGTGACTTACAAATCCCTTCTGAAGACATCACACAGCCTGGAGGGAAAACCAACGGTTTATTTAACACCAGTTATAAATGGAACATTTATTTTAAACCCAGTACAGCCTCTGTTTTCCTCCCATGCTGAATAGGAGTTTAAAGGATAAGGTAGCATTAGTAGGCAACTCTGTTCACTTGCTGTTAGACAGACTGTCTGATCAGCCCCATGTCCTGCACAAACACAGATCCCACCGCATGGCAGATGCATTCACACACCTAGGCATGAAAAATTTTGCTCACTGCAGCTCTGGCAAAATGGTGAGCGTGAAACAACTGCAAAAGCCAAAGGAAGAAAATCCCTGCAGAACAGGGTGTTGCTACCAGCCCAGGGCAAACTAAAAAGATCCAACACGGAGAAAAAGATACCCCGTAACAGGAAAATGTGAGTCGATGTGTTGCCAACAGGAGGCAATGTTGTGCCCAGGCCTGTGAAGTCTCACCCAAATCCCTCGATGGCCCTTTCCCCTCTGGAGGCTCAGCAAGCTCTGGAGGCTCTTCCACACAGCCACTTCACTCAGCATGGGCAGGCTGGTCAGGGCCAGAGCTTGAATCCTCCTGGAGGGACCTGGAGACATTCAACATCAAGTCCTCGTGAACCCAGGTGCAATTCACAGCAAGTTCCTGGCCAGGAGGAGAAACATCTGCTTCCATTTCTGCTTCTACAGGGCCAGGTAAAGGGAAAACTCTCTGAGTGAGGAGGATATCTGTTTTTTTCTTCTTTGGGTTTTCCAGACTGGGGCAGGTTATTAGCTTCAGCTTTGTTTTCAGATGAATCTGCTGCCTGGCTGGAGACTCCTCTCAGTGTACCTGGTCCCGAGGAGAACAGCTTATGAGGTCCCTGAGGAGGCTTTTGCAACTAACAGCCACATCAAACATCTGCAGACTGTCTGCCACGGAGATAACTTTGGTGCAACTGTGTTTCCCCAGTGGGAGTTTGCCACTGTACATCATCTCCAGCAAGAGTGCAAACTCCTCAGGCATCACCACAGAAGCATCAATAGGGATGCTGTCTGTACGGTCCAAGAGGGATTTAAACAGCAGGCTGGCAGCAGCCAAAACCACCTTGTGTGCTCTAAAATGCACGTCCCCAGTAAAGATGGTGCAGTCACAGACGTGCTGCTCCTTGCACAGGGTGTACAGCTGGGGCAGCAGCTGCTGGCTGTAACTGGGGAGCTCCATGGCACTCACTGGCCTCCTCTCACCGTGGGCTGCACACTGCTCTCACAAAACCCAGCTAACGAGAAGGAAAGGGACCCTGTCAGCATTTTGCTCTGCAAGACAGAAGAGTAAATAAAAACTACTTTTTAGTTTACACATTCCAGTAGTTTACTGTGCTGCAGTTCTGTGGTTACAGCAAGATCCCTGTTCTGAACTCACATTCCACGAATTCAGCAGTTTACCCTGAGACCTAAAGAGCCTCGATAGTGTTCAAACCTCAGTGAGCAGATTTGGATTGAGTCCTGAGTCCCAGGAGCTTTAAAAAGGGAGCAGAGCCTCCCCAATGTGCCACACAGCTCACGGAGGTGTGAGTGCCCACCGGATCAGGCACTGCAGTGCCAGGCTGTGCCTGCAGCCAGGGGCTGGAGCTGATGCTGAATTCAGCAGCTGGTTTCTGAAAGGACAGGTGGGAAAGCAGGGCAGGAAGACCTGTTCAGATCATCTATGAAACACAGAGGAGAATCTGAGAAGCTAGTTTTGATCTGCAAAGCACTAAGTGGTTTGGGACCAGTTCATTTTCTCCCTACATCACTGGTAAGATGAGCAGGGCCACGTGAACATCAGACACAGAGGTCTGCTTGCAGCCCAGGGCCTTCAGCACCCCCTTCTCAGCACACCACAGTCCCAACTCATCAATTTAGAAGTCTTTGTTCCCAAGCTGTAATTTTTTTGCAGAAGTCCAGAGCCCTAAATCTCATCTACCAGAGCCTCCCTTTTACTTCCCCCCTCCCCACCCTGTTGCAGGAGGGAGAACATACAGGACATCTGCCAACAGAATTCTGTATCAGCGGGATACCTGGAGTTTTTATCTAAGCTAGACAAGATAAAGATGTCACTGCCTTGTCTACACACTTGGATGCTTAACACTAGTGCAGCCCACAAAACAGCATGAACACCAGAGAAAGAGCACCTGGATGGACACAATTTACATGACCTTCAACGCTTAACATCTTTGCACTCAGCTTCCTGCTCTCTTGCAGAGAACAGGACTAATATTGCCTGTCAGCAGGCCATGAGCTTTAAGGAGCACATACTCCTCCTCAAAGTGCTGCCTCTCAGGAAAGCAGGCTCGGAGCAATTCCCAGCACTGCAAGTCACAAGCAGACACTGGGCACAGGCTGAGCTGGCACCTTGCTTCTTCAAGGCACAAACCCCTCTGGAGCTCAGCCTTTGTGGGAAGTAGGATTTCCTGTCCACAGGCAGGCAGGACCCCAGCTGTCCTGAGTGGCACTGCCTGTGGTGGCTGTGGGAAGACAGAAGAAGCCAAGAGGCATCACCTCATTCCAGAGGTACAGACAGCTGAGCAACTGGTTGGTGGATCCCAGCCACGCAGGAGAGCTCTCCTGAGTGGCCAAGAACTCCCACAGGCTTTAAAGATGAAGTGCTATGGAACACGTTTTTCAATCACCAGGTGAAGATCCCAGATGGTTTTGCCATCACCTCAAAGCAGAGGTGTCCTGCTCCCCATCTGGGTAGCTGTGAAGCAAGAGCACACGGTGGTTAGGTCCTTCTGTGGAAGGCAGGAAAACCTGAGTGGAATGATAGCCCAGCCTCCTGCTTCTCAGAGACAGAGCTTCTCCGGGCACACCGCTACCAAAGGTTGGCTGGTTTGCAGCTCATCTTTGCTGTACCAGATCCACCCCTTCAGCCATGCACAGGGCTGGCCACCTGCACTCCCAGCCTATCCAACATGTGGGCTCTGCTCTCCTCCCACGCTGTTGTAAATCACGAGGCATCAAGCTGCCATGAGCAGAGTCGCTGCTGGCCGTGGGAGAAGAGAAAGACCTGACTCTTTTGCCAGGCTCAATGTAAATAGCATTTTCAGTCCACCCACTCTTTCCTGAAGCTGAAGGACTTCCAGTATCTGAGATGAAATCGGGTCTGCTGGTTAAATAATAATAGCTGTGGCTCTTCCTACAAAAGGACAAGCAGGAAACATTGATGTCCTGGAAGAGACGTCTGCTCACTTTGCCATGAACAGCCTTCTGCATGAAACCTATTGCTTGCACCGTGGCAAGCTGGAGGAAGCAGCAGCACCGTCTGCTCCCTCTATTCCTGGCAGGAATATAGAAGACATATTTGCTCATGACAGCTCGAAACAGTGAAGCTCTAAGCAGCCTAGCAGCGTGTCCCCTTCTTCATTACAGCAACTCAGAGCACAGGAAAATGTGTCCTAAGCAATTAGCACAGACATATTTGTTTAAATACATTTTACTTCTTTAATTATAGCGACCCAACAACCCAGTACTGCCAAAGAGAACAGGCATTTGTAACAAGCAGCCTCAAGGCAACTGCCCCCTACTTAGAGCACACTTCAGGTTTTTATTCAAAGCTTAGAGCCAGAAGGGACCACACCAGCAATCTGATTCCTCATCCATCACTGCCTCCCAGATTTCCAGGCTCATAACTTGGGTTTGGCTAAAGCCTCTCTTCCAGCAAGGTGCCTAGTCATGATAAGAACTGATTTTTAGGGGGAGGACCCTCCACCACCACAGTTATTCTACCTGTTAATTTACATGTCTTCTTTCTCACCTGAGTTTGTGTGGCTTCATCTCCCAGCCGTCCTCTGGATGACTTCTGGGAGAGCTGGCTGGGGGACTGGGTGGAACTGGGAATCTCTGAGAGCAGGTAACTGATCCTTCAGCAGCAATGAGTGCTGACAACATGAGCTGTCTGCCTCTGCCAGCAGCACTGGTAAGAAATAGCCAACTGTCACGTCTTCATCTTAAAGCTGCTTCTCTGCAGCCCTCCTGGGACATACTGCCAGTAAACCAAGACAAAGTCTGACTCCCTTGAGTCACAAAGGGGACAAAGGAGACAGGGCATTTGCCCATCTGACCTGCACAAGAAACGGGCTTTGCAAAATTAATCCTTTGATGGGACATCTTAAACCCCATCCTTCCAGCTTTCCAAGGAGAACACCAAGATGGCTTAAGAGTTTTCCTTCCACCAGCTTCCAGGGAGACTGTGAAATAAGCAATTTAAGCCAAATTTTCAACAGTGCCCAAAGTTCCTAAGGCTCTACTTGACAACATGTCGATAAATGTCCCCCGTCATCCTTAAGCAGCAGTTGCCATCTGTGATTGCTCTCAGGACACCCACTTCAGCAAAATGCCCCTTCTTCTTCTGAACTCCCAAGCAGAGGTGGTCCAGAACAGGTCTGCAGCAAACATCACCCTCTACTGTTCAGTTCCAGCTCATTCCACCTTTTCCCAGGTATTCCTGCCCTCACACAACTCCACAGTTTGAAGGAATCGTGTCTTTTTCTTTAAGCTATAGTAGAACAGGAAAAAGATCTGTTGAGAGCAACAACCTTTCTTCACAGAGAAGGAGGAAAGATGGACACCCAATTCTATCCAAATAACTAAAAAAGAGTGCCCAATTAAATTACTTCTCTTCATTATTCATATAATTACTTCCACCTAGATCCAACAGATTCAAAGGCCACCCACATCACCAGGTTCATCAAAAGATAATTGAAATTTAGGACCAAGCACTTTAGCAATTAAGACTCTGCAGAGACAGGTGCTCCAAAGGTGCATGGATGAGACCACTCTTCCCTCACAATTCCTGCTGCCACAGTACCCACACCTTTACAACACCCATCACAAGGCACAGAAAGAATTTTAATGTCTCTGTGGCCTTAGCAAAAGGATTCTGTATGTCCCTCACTGCCAGAACTACAGACTTTTGCAAGGTGCTGGTCAACACAGCTGCTGCCATTAATAACACCAAAAGCTCTTTCTGCATCGATCTCAGTGGCCAGCTTGAGGATGTGTTCCACGCCTGAAATTCCTCCTGGAGCAGGCTTTTTGTAGCTTTAAAATAAACCCAAACCCAACTACTATTGCTGCACACTACCAAAAAATGAAGCACTCCCAGCACAGTGGTTCTGAAAGGCACAAAACCCACAGCCTGCTGCTCCCTCTGCTGCCGGCACGGCACAGCCCAGGGCCAGGCAGAGATGGATAACTTGGAGCACCCACATGGATAATGAAGCTTCATAAAATCAGCCGGCACACCCGATGAGAAAGTAGAAGAAAGCAAGTCCTATGTGAGTTCTAAAAAGCTGAACCAAAGCAGGCAGAAAACAAAACAAAACAAACCACAAAGTGGACAGAAAGAGATAAGCAAAATGGAAGAATCCAACTTCCCTGCCTTAAGGAAATGCCACTTCTGCTGGAGCTGACGGGAGGCGCTCACAGGAGCACCCCTCAACCCTCCTGCTCCCCAGCACCCTCTGCTCAGGGAGCTAAAACCAGAAGTGGTCACTGAAGCAGGTGCCAGCCCACAAAGGCTCCTTGCCCTGTGAGAGGGGCTCACCCCATCCCGGCCCACTTGCAACCACTCAAAGGCTCATTTCACAGTTCTTATGGAAATCAGTGAATTCAGCAGGATGGAAAGCTGGGATTCATCTCTCATTTCCTCGACCCTGGGAATGACACTGGCCTCTAAACGAGGGGCAATGTTTTGTTTTTATCCCTGAGGAGTTAAGGGCAGTGACAGCCTTAAATCACAATCTGAATATTTTCTGCGTGTGTTTACCGGTTTCCTGTTTTTTTGTTACCAAGATGATGATCTTACAATGAGGGTTATTGGAAAGCCAGAAAATCAAGGACTGCAATTCAATTTTCTTACCTCTCCCACCAAAAGCAATTCAGTCTTTGAAGTGCTGAAAGAGGCTTGAGGGGTCATTACTTGTCTCTGGGGTGCTCCAAAGGGGCAGAGCAGGCAGCTCGCCCAGAGGATAATGTGAAATCCAGCACAAGGAGATAGGGCACACCAATTTGTTTTTCAATCTATTTTGTTGCAGTTCAGAGCATCAGTGCAGGCTGATAACAGAGGAAAATAAGCAACACTTTGACTAAATTCAGCGCTCCACAGTCTCTAAAGGCAGCAGAATATACCGCTTGAACCCCACGCATTTTGTCTGCACTGATGCTCAGAACAGAAATATAAACAGATTGAAAAACAAACAGCTCT